TGCTGTTCCAGACACTAAAAATCTCCCGCCGTTGCATTTCTTTTTCTTTGTCAAACCTCCTTCGAGTGGAGGAGGAAAACATGGCCGCCGACTGGCGGCTCAGAGCCGATGTTTAAAACGCCAGAAAGTCAGAGCAGCTTAAGTCTCCTCTCAGCTCCTGTTCAGCTCTCTGCTGGATCTGCTCCTCTTTCTGAAGGACCTCACTTTCAGGTCCTCTTCATCTGCTGGATTAGAGAGTTTTTCAGGCCCAGCTCTTCTTTTTCTGTCCTCCACTGGTCCAGTTTTCTCAGATGTTTTAAGGACTCACTGCTCACCAGGCTGAGATCTGCCCAGTTTTCAGCCAGCAGCTCTTTGGGAATCCTCAGAAATCCTGTTTCCTGAAATACACTTAAACATAAAACACAGCTGGATTAAAGACTTCAAATTAGTGAGCCAAAACTCTTGTGGTGTTCTTCAAAAACACTAAAAAAACTTAAAGAAAAATCTCGTTCTTTGGAGGAAAACGTAGATAAACTCTGTTTTTAAATCTACAGACTGGGTCTGTTTCACATGCTGTTTAATTTAATTTACAGTATCACACACATTATAGAAATATCAATTAAATGGTCACATCAACATATTACTGTCAAATGAATCCAACTGAATAAAAATGGGTGTATTCTGTTATTATTTGTTGACTATTGTGGAACAAATTATGTGTCTCTGTGACCGGCTGCTGCTGACAAAGAGCCTAAAGATCCACTTTAAGCTGCAGACGCTGGCTCATCCCTTGAGTTAGGGGCCTTTTTAGTTGAGTTCAGTGGCTGAACAAAGAAAAAAGAACTCAGCTACAAGGACTGAAAAGGAGAGAAAAGGCAGACAAAGAGGGAATGGATGATTTTTCCTGGCTCCTGAGTGGAGCAAACTGACGGTGTGCTGTGCTCCCCCCCCCCCCCCCCAGGTCAGCCTGATGCACAACGGCTGGCCGGTGATTTCCGCGTTCGCCGGGGACCAGGACGTGACGCGCGAGGCCGCCAGCAACGGCGTCCTGATCCAGATGGAGAAGGGGGACCGGGCCTACCTCAAACTGGAGAGGGGGAACCTCATGGGGGGCTGGAAGTACTCCACCTTCTCCGGCTTCCTGGTGTTCCCCATGTAGAGCGGCGGAGGGGGGGGCGGAGCCAGAGGAGGGCGGAGCCGGAGGGGGAGGAGCCAGAGCGGAAGATGGAGAGTTTGAGGAGGACGAGGGGGAGAGGAAACAGGACAACGAGGAGATGCTGGAGAGGAAAGAAGA